GACAATTACTTGACATAAGTTAGAAAATAATGTATTTATATATAATTGTTTATATTTGTCCCTGACTCTTGACGATCACTAGATGTTAGTTAGAAGATAATGTATTTATATATAATTGTTTATATTTGTCCCTGACTCTCGACAATCACTAGACGTAAGTTAGAAGATATTGTACTCAGTTGATGTTTCTCTATGATTGGTGAAATGTATCAGGTTTTATAAATAAACAGTTTATCACATCATGTATTATCAAGGTTCAGCTTTTATAGATAAACAGTTTATCATAGATATCCAGTTTCTGTTACACTCTAGTTTTCATCTCCTACACAGAAAACTGATGGTATGGTTTAAGTCTCAGTCAGTGACTAAGGACCCCAACGAGGAGAAAGTGTACTCTAGGTGGGAACAGGACTTTCGTCTGGCCGACATACCCAACCTTGTTTGACTGTTTGACGAATATCTTGAAATGGGTAAACATAGTTTTATGCCTTTTATAAATTCAGTTGATTAACAAATATTTAAACAAAAATAAAATGAAACCTAATTTCATACTTGTCTGGACATTTGCTTTCTGTAAATAAAAAAAAAATCTGTTATTGAACCACTTTGTATATCATTTTTAGTTTCTCACTTATACTACCAGAGGGAGCTTTAAGTTTGAACTCTGTTACTCTGGCCCTCTGTCCTGTACAAGATGTCAATGCCTAGAACTTGAGTGGTCTGTATTATTTAATGCAGAATGAGACTTGAATTGATGCAGATCAATACAAAGGCATGCATGTTCCCTGTTTAGGATTGATTAACTTGTAAGGACTGTCCAGATGATAAAAAATCTTTGAACCTCCAATCAGGGGAATCAAAACCCAGCTGTCTTTGTGAAAGACGAGTGCACTATCCACTGCGCCACCCAAACCCGTTAATAATCAATATCATTGCATCAGGACTTTCTGTTCTTGTAGCCCAGATAGTAGTCTGTGTCTGTTTAATTATAAATTCTGTTCCTTTGACAGTGATCCAGTATGGATTTGTCACCGTTTCCGTGGCTGCTTTTCCATTAGCCCCTGTGTTTGCTCTGATCAACAACATCTTTGAGATCCGATTGGAT